CTTTGTTATGCTGATGACAGCCTAGTTCTATCTTTAGCCTTGTATTCTGGTATTGAAAGGTCCAGCCTTCCCTTTGAGGATACATATGACCTGGAGGAAGAACTTTCCTAGCAGAGAGTTTGTTTCCACTGTGCAGCTATGTCAGTTGATTGATTCAAAGATGTTACTTTGCCTTACAAGTCTTGTCCTTCTGAGCAAAGGAAGAAAGTTGCCAAAAGCTATATATAAATAACATGCTGGCTCTCCTGTGGAAACTGTTCATGTGCACGCTTCGTAAGTGTAAAGTAATACATCCCAGTGTGAAAGCAGGGCAGACTGCTGCACAGCACTGCAGGTTAAGAGAGTTCATGTAGCAGTTACTCTGAGGTGATGAATATGCTGTAAATCTACACCCTGGTTTCTCCTGGTCATTTAGGCTATGAGTACAAGACTATGGAAGTGGATATTCACCGTGTAGTACAGTGTGTCTCGCTGCATTATGAGCTGGCTTGTGTAACCTTTCTGAACATCCAGTCTTCCTCCCGCATTTGTAATATCTTCCACTGCTTTGAATGTGCTAGTATCGGAAATTCGTAATGCAGCTTTTGCAATGTACAGAGAACAAGGTTTCTCTCTGTTCCCAGGGTACAAATACCCTTCCAAGTGACCAGTGCCTCAGGAACCTGGAGGCTTATTGGAATTTTTACTGCAGGTGCTTGCAGGAACATTTGACCTGAGGGCAAGTAAAACCTGTTCCCCTTTACCATGCATGCAACTCCTTGGCCTCCTCCCTCATACATTACACATCGTCTGTGGTGTCTTAATCCTCATCCTTTTCTCCCCTGAAATTGCTTTGAGCTCTGTGAGAGAGGCAAGAAGCCAGTGGCAAAAAGAGGCAGGTTTGTCTTGTAAAGATTTAAAAGTTGGTTGGATTTTTAACCCTTAAGTCTGATAAGAGCTGTGGTGTTCACAGATCTCTCATTTCTTGGGGCTTATGGTCTCCTGTTAGAGTAACAAGTTCACAGATTTGTTTGAGAAGTTTGATGAGGCCTTCTTTGGGGTACCATCTTCTACTTATTGCTGGGATTTTTGTCTCTCTGTTGTCTCACATACTTTTTAAGCTCTCATTGAATCCTATGCATTTTTTATCTTCTTCTATCTCAGAGTTTAATTCAGAGTTAACAAAATAGCTCTCTTCTCTGGCCATGCCAGCATATCCATAATTCTTATCAAAGTTCAATGTCTTGCTGTCCTTTTGGGCATCCAGCTTACCTTTCTCTCTGTAAGCCCAACTGCTGTTTTCACCATCCCGCATCAGACTAAATAAATGGTACTTTCTCAAGCTGTGGCCAGCATCATATGCTTTATGGGAAGATGTCTGGTACTGTGAAGAGTATCGTTCCTTTGCCAAAGCATAAACCTTCCTAATTCACAGCATGTCTTTTCCAAGCAAATGAATTTTCTGCCAGGATACTTGCATATAGCCAGTCCTTTTACTTTTGGACCAGTGGTCTCTTGGATTTACTGGTATTGTGTGTCAGTGAGCAAAATCAAGCCAGCAGCGTTTGTCTCTTATTCCAAACTTGTCTTTTTCCATTCCCTTGCTGTTAATGTTTATTTTTGTCATCATTTCAGCATCCTTCTGCAAGTTTAAACACACCTCCCCTGCTTGCCTTCCCTTCTGTTGCTTGAATCAGGTTCTGGATATCATCCTTCAAGCCTCTGCATTCATCCGTAAGATTCCAACTGGGCTTTCCTCCTTCCTCCTTACCATCCAGTCTGCTCTTATTGCCCCTTTTGTGTACATTGTCCACTCTCAATTCTATGCTATTCTGTAGTGTCTGTCCTTATCTAAAAATGTGTTAATTCTACAGAACAAAGCCATAAAAGCTTTATTCAGTTCTCCTGGCTTTTTCTGTACTCTTGTTGTATGTGCCTCTCCTGCACCTGGGTCGGGGCAATCCCAGGCACAGCTACAGGTTGGGCAGAGAAGAGATTCAGAGCAACCCTCTGGAGAAGGACTTGGGGGTGTTGGCTGATGAGAAAATGAACATGACCTGGCTTCAGTGCGCGCTTGCAGCCCAGAAAGCCAACCGTATCCTGGGCTGCATCAAAAGGAGCGTGACCAGCAGGTCGAAGGAGGTGATCCTGCCCCTCTACTCTGCTCTTGTGAGACCTCACTTGGAGTATTGTGTGCAGTTCTGGTGTCCTCAACATAAAAAGGACATGGAACTGTTGGAACAAGTCCAGAGGAGGCCACGAGGATGACCAGGGGACTGGAGCACCTCCCATATGAAGACAGGCACAGAAAGTTGGGGCTGTTCAGCCTGGAGAAGAGAAGGCTGCGTGGAGACCTCATAGCAGCCTTCCAGTATCTGAAGGGGGCCTATAGGGATGCTGGAGAGGGACTCTTCATTAGGGACTGTAGTGATAGGACAAGGGGTAACGGGTTAAAACTTAAACAGGGGAAGTTTAGGTTGGATATAAGAAGGAAATTCTTTCATGTTAGGGTGGTGAGGCACTGGAATGGGTTGCCCAGGGAGGTTGTGAATGCTCCATCCCTGGCAGTGTTCAAGGCCAGGTTGGACGAGGCCTTGGGTTGATATGATTTAGCGTAAGGTGTCCCTGCCCACGGCAGGGGGGTTGGAACTAGATGATCTTAAGGTCCTTTCCAACCCTAACTGTTCTATGATTCTATGATTCTATCCTGTAAATTGATGGCTGCGACACTGGTTGGTGTTCTTTGCCTAGCAGGCTGTGTACTCTCATTGTGCTCATACATTAAGTGATCCTTAAGGTCCGTTAAGGACCTCACATGACAACTGTTCAGTGTGCTGTACTGTGCTTTCTTGGAGGTTTGAGCCTGTAGGTGTAGACCCAGCAGTTCATAGAACTCCAGGCAAATCAGATCCCGAGACTTGCTTAAGCCCTTTTCAGATGTGTGTCATGGTAGTAGAAAAGAGGGGGAATGTAATGTTGTGGTAGAAGAGACGGGAAGCAGAGTAGCACAGAGATGGTGAACTGCTTTTTGAGCACTTAAAGCCAGGCAACAGATGTGGCTGGGAGCCATTGGTTGCTTTCCGCAGTGTCTATGCCTAATCCTAGTTTACACCATGTAAAACTTAATCTGTGGGTTTGGGTGTCACTGATGTGATTAAACTGGCAGTCTGAGAGGAGAGAACTCTGCCATGACATCAACTTTCCACTGAGTTATTTAAAAAGCTAATTTTTTATTTTTTTTCAATCCTGTGATGGGTCATCATTTTAATATGAGTAAATATTTTGCATTGTAAGAACAAACTCCCTTTTATAGTATCCACATGCTGCTGTTTTTACTGAATCCAGCACAGAGCTATTTCCTATTTCTGATTGTTCACCTCACACTCAGCAGCCTTTGTGTGTTCACCTGCTCACGCTCTCTCTCCCTCTTTTTCTTTCTCTCTTGGCTTTTTTAGCCTTGTTGATCTATTATTGTCACTTTGGCGAGACAGTGCCAGCTTTCGGCGTTTAATGGGCTGTAAGCAGGAGCCATCAGCTAATTCTGGTAGTTCTGCCTGTGAGACCATGAAGTCAGCAGCTACTCTGGGTTGCTTTACCATCTGCTGCTGCTATTGCTTTGGTGTATGTGGAAGGAATGTAAACAACACTTTCCAGATGTTCTCAGGGCAGCTGGAAAACCATAAATGGACTGTTTGGTTCAGGAATATTACTGATCTGTTTCAGAGATGGCAGTGAATAGAGTCATGAAAACTTATAGCTCCATGCGTAGCCTGTGCAGCATGCTTTGTCATGTGTACTGCAGTGGGTTGCTGGAACAGTTCAGTGATTACATAGCTTGTTCAGGACTTGAGCTGGGCAGATGAGCTATCTTTATATCTGCTCTCCTTCCCTCTCTTATCCTTCCTTCCGCCAGCTTCAGCTCCTGAATGAATCACAGTGACAGTGTCCTCCAAATCTCATGCAGGGCAAACGCTGTTTTGTTCCCCCAGAGTGTCTCCAAGTTGCAAGTGATCTCAACAAATGAAGAGTGAAGAAAAGAGGATCTAGTTTTTAAACTCTCAGTGTAATATTTGGTGTAGTAGAAACTGCTGAATAAACATGGGGGTGTTTCATCTTGATGCAGTATAGAATACAAATTTGGAAGCTGCTGTCTCTCATGTATCTCCAGAGCTGGAAAAAGCATCAAATCTCACCCACTTGTGGTATATCCAAAAAAGTCTATTTTGGGGGAGAATCAGTCACTTCCTTCTTTAGGGTGTGTGTGTGTGTTTTAATGCATTAATTAATTTTTATTGAGTGGTGGAAAAACTGATGTCAGAGCTGCATTGCGGCTGGAGGCGCAGGAACACAAGGTTGTAGGAAATAATACAGCTAACATAAGGGCAGTGAAAGTTTAACCATGGAGAGTTTAAAATAGCAAAGCCGAGCCACATGGATATTAAAAGATATGACTGAATCAAAACAGCGGTCTAATATTAAGCTGGGTTTTGGTGGGGGAGTAGCAAACTTCTTGGGTTAATGTCTCTTGTGTATCTGATGTCCAAGGGTAGGTTTCGTGTCTCGACACCCTGATCGCTGACTTTGGTATTGTCAGGTTTTGGCTATTGTGGGATGCAAACTACAAGGGGCAATACTGGTTATGTCTAACTCTCTTTTTGCCAGGCCTCTTCAGTCAGGAGTCTGCAGAGTATCCTTTTCCTTTTACGGCGGTCTATAAACTCGTCCAGCATGACTTCTTCTCTGGCACCTCTCACGGTTCAGATTGCACAGATCCATGACAGCAAAGCGGAGGGAGGTGGAGAGAAGTTCTTTGGAAATTGGAGCCAAAAAGGAGCACAGTTACATAATTGTACAAAAGAAAAAGGGGTTTTGTTTTGCTTTTCCTTGTCATATCCTTCTGCAAACTGAAAAAAATGTTGGAAACCTGGATGGAAAAAGTTCAGCATCATTCATCCCTGTGGGGACATGAAATGCATTGAAATGTTCCACCTGTTTTATGGCTGTTGCTTGTCCTCTTTCAGGTTTGACATCTACAGGAAGGTGCCAAAAGACCTTACACAGCCAACCTACACAGGGGCTATTAGTAAGTAACACTTCTTTTTGATGTCCTTGTATACCCCAGTCTAGTATTAAAGATCATTTGGCTTCTCTGTCTCCAGGTGATTTTTTTTTTTTTAAAGGGATATTAAATACAGGAAAGTATATCCTTTGTTGCTGAGACAACTCGTTTTGCCCAGTCTGTCAGGTTGTACTAAACTCTGGAGTGCTTTGCCTGGATTTGGAATCTCAACAACAAAAAGTAGTTGTCATGAAAGGGAGGTCCTGAAAGCTAGCACTGAAATACCCACTCTGCTAGCTACTGCAGTAGGCAGAGAGCTTCTTGCTAGTGTCTTCCCATGAACAGAAACTGTGAGTCTGCACCAAACACTGGTCAGGTTGATGACTGTAGGGCTTTTTACCCCTCCTGATAGGTTTCCCCTCAGTTAGTGTGGAAAACAACTGGTAGCGGTTGCATTCACAATTAGTGTACCCAGGCGTTTGCTTGTTGAAGAGACTGGAGGAACCCAACTACTGCAAGTGAGGAATCCAGGTTCCGGATCAGTAAGGAGCAGGGTGGGTGGCAGTATGCGGTGGCTGGCAGTGAAGCTGGTTTGGGAAACACGTATTTCTCTCACAGCATACTCAGGAAATTCATCTGATGTTGTAGGTGGACTAATGAGCAGAGATCTTATTTTGTTGTTATTTGTCATGTTTCTAAAGAAGAAAATTTGCTTGGTCAAAAACCACCGACAGCAATCCACTCTCACTCCCATGTATCAATACATAGACTTTGGCTGATACAAATCTCTTGCCTTGGGCCCCTTTTCCTTCCTTCCTCCTCCTGAGGGAGGCTGTGGGCTGAGTAATGCAATTTCACACAATTATATGCAGTGAGCGCACTGTGCAGAGTGGTAAACATTGATCAGGTTGGTCCTGCCAGTCCTGTAATCGAATGCCTAATGCAGCTTCCTGTTCCACTGAACAGTGATTTCCTTTGATCGTGGAGCTGTGCTTCATTCATCCATTCCTGTAGACGGGTCAGTAGCCTTGTATGTCATTGCTGACGTGAGTGATGTCATATCCCTTGATGAGAGCAGGCATCAGATTGAACTGACTCAGTACCAGTGAATCAATGGACACAAAGGAAAGCTCTTTGTGAGCTAAAGAAGTATCTCACTCCTTACTGTGAGGATGGTCAGAGACTGGAATAGGTTCACCAGGATGATGTGGAGTCTCCATCCCTGAAGATACTCAAAACCAACTAGACCTGACCCTGAGCAGCCTGCTGTCACTGACCCTGCTTTGAGCAGGGGAGTTAGATGGGATGATCTCAGAAGTCCCTGCCAGCCTCAACTATTCTGTGCTTCTGTGAAGATAGCACATTAATCTAAATATTTACTTTCAGAGAGTCCTTGTCCTCTTTGTTCTGCAGACTGCTGAATTACTTGGATGTTGACTCCCTTTTAGGTTTGCTGAAACTGCAAACAAAGAGCTTGAATCTGTTTGCTAATTTAGAGGTGTATGAGATTTCATGTTTTGAAAGAACACTTTGAACTTGTCGGTGATTCTGCCTTCTCTTCTGTTTTGGAAACTCGAAGTTCCCACACTGTAACTGAGAGAATTGGTCTTGTTATGAATCACCTGCAAAAGAGTATGTTTTAGAAACAAAAAAACCATCAAAGGCCATCCAGTGTTAGGCTTTCTGATCTGCAGTAAACAGCTCAAGTGATAAGTCTGTTGTGGGAAGGCTTGAAGGCTGTGACTCTTACTTAAAATTAATAGCTGACTTATTTCTCTCTATTGTTACTTGCAGCTTCTCAGGCTTTGATTTCTTCTCTAACTGGTTCTCCTTCTTTTTGTCAGAGTGTTTTTAGACAGCCTGATACAAGCTTTTGAACCACACAGGCAGCCACAAGCTGTAGTGGCTTTGCATGTGAGGATCTTGTGTGCAGCTTTCCTAATAGGCTTTCTGTCTGACCAAGCCTGTGACTTGTAATTTGAAAGCCAGTGATCTTGAATGTTGTAGGAGGCTGTGAATGAGACCAGCCCATTGCCATGCCAGTTTGAAGCCTGGGAAGGTTGCATGATTTAGTGATAAATGCTTTAGGGAAGCCAGCTTGTAATAACGCTGGGGGCTTGAGGGTAGGGGAAGATTCTGCCTCTCAAAAACCTTTTAGTCTAGTAAATATGTGAATCAGCTATAGCTGCAACTCAGTTTTGGCTTTCTTCACGTCCTTCAAGTTTTACAGAGCAGATACAAAATAGCCCCTAGTAGCCAAACATTAATTTAGGCTCTTCCCCCATGATTTCTGCTGAAACTTCAGTATTGCTTCTGGTGCTGAAGGCTTTCTGGAATAGGAGTGGATTTACTGCAGGATTCCTACTTGCTTTTGGATTGTAAAAAGGCCTTTTCTTAAGTAATAAAAAAAAAAAAAAAAAAGGTTTGAGGTTTATTAGGGAAGAAGGCACAGATCACATTACAGAAGAGATGGAAAATACCAGCTCTGCTTCTGACCACCGGGGCTCAAGTGGCCAGTTCTTCTAGGAAAGAAGCAGCTCAGGGAGATTAAGTATTAGGGTATTTTGGTGGAGAAGAGCAGGCAATCTCAAATGCAAGCAAATCAGAAGCCAACTGGGGTGTTGTTGGGGCTTTCTCTTATGAATGGTTTTGTGATTTCAGAAGTTGCAGTGAATGCAGTATAGAAGATATTTCAGATATGTGTAGCAACCCTTCCAGTTGGTCAAAATCTGTAGGAATGAAGGAGCCAAGAACAGTCCACTGCAGTTTACTGGGATGAGGTTTGTATAGAGCAACATATCCGCTGTTGTGGGCTTCTCTGGAAAGAAGTGAAGAAGTTGCTCATTCCTTTTCCTCAATAAAAATCTCTTCTTTCAGGCAGCATTGTGAGCCCTGTGCCATTCAGCCAGTCGTGCCATTGTTGTCCATTTTCCACCAGATGCTCGTGCCAGTGTTTGCAGCCCTTCCACCACTGTGTACTGTGTTTGTGGTGCCAGCACACGGCTGTTCTAACAGACCTGACCAACGTGGTGACAACTTGGCCATGTTTGGGTATGTAGGCAGAGCAGCAGCACGTGCCCTGGCTGGCTGACAGTTGGCATCTGGCTGGACAGGAGCAGTCTGACTTCTTGAGAGAGGGGCCTGCAACTAGGACAGCTGCTGTAGCAATCCTCCTATTCATCAGTCAGCATGGATGCATAGTTTGCATGCACATGTTGTATGCACACATGGTAACGTTATCCAGAAATACTCTTTGCTGTTTAGAGGCTGGAGTTTTAAATACACATCAGGAAATATCAAAGTTATGATTCACATGGCATCTGTAACAAGACCCGTTCCTTGTACTTCATAGCAGTTTGCTCCATTGAATAATAAATACTAATAATTTTATGCCTTAATATAGACATTCTCAGGCTGTATGATGTGTTAAACACTGCGTTTCTTTCATTTTTTGTGGGGTGGGGAGGAAGAGTCAGGACTACATAGATGGGGTATGTATCAGAAGGGTTATGTATGAAAAGGTTAGGTTGTCAAAGCTAGTGTAGGAAAAAAAACTTGGCAGTTTCCCATCTTTCTGGGATTACTGATTAGCCAACAGCAATGAGCTTCAGTGTGTCTAACACAAGCAACCTTTGATATATTGGTTATGTTATCATATTAGAGTTTTAAGAAACCTGTCTTAGATGGTCCTTTGAGCTCTGTGGGAACATCGCAGTGCTTTTGCAGTTAAGCTAAGTTTTATGCATGAATTGTTTTATTCTGTCTGATCCTAGCCTTTAATCTACTTTTCCAAATATAATGCAGTTGTCAAATGTCGGTGGCAGGAACTGCACATTTGCATGGAAGCAAGTAAAGGCCTTCACTATGAAATAAGTAGCTGAAGCGCTGTGTGCATAAATTCTTATGTTGGGAACATCTTGCGTGCCTGCAGCTCCATGCTAAGGAGATGTGCTCATATTTTACAGCTGAAAAAATGTTGGCTCTAGGGGCAGTTTAATGCATAAGACTTTCACATAAGTCTCACACCAAAGATACTCCCCTGCCCTGAAAATGTGTGTGTACAAGAATACAAGAGTGACCACACTACCTAGGTCAGCACAAATGTCTGTGCAGCCTAGTGTCCCCTTGCCAGGAGTGGCCAGCAGCCGATGCCTGAGAAAGAGCATGAGAACAGGTTCAACACTTCACCAGGCTTTGGTCAGTTGGCAGTTCTGAACTTCCTGAGCTGGAGGTGGTTCTTTTGTGTTTAGTAGGCCTCAAGGGATTTATTCTTCAGGACATGTATGATTCCCTCTTGAAATCTTACAGACCCTCAGAATTTAGTTGGGAGTTGTGTAAAGGAAAAACCTCCTCTTGTTTTCAACCTTCCCCTTCCCTCCTGAAGAGACAGTGAATGGTTGTTCCCCATTCATCTCCTTTGGGCTGCTTATGATTTTCTATACCCACCTCAAGTCCACCCTCAGTAATCTCTTTTTAAAGGCTGAAAACTGACTATGAAGTTTGAAGACTGGCAAAGCATTGAGGAGCTTTGAAAGTCAATCCCTGTCAAGCGTTCCAGGGCATTCTTGCAGGATTTTTTTAGAGTAGGTTAGTGGAATTTTACTGGACTGTATTTGGCAAGTATTGTCACCACAAGCCTTCACTGTGAGAGCTGAATTGGAAAGTGAACTTGAGGGAGCAAATCCATTGTATAATGGAAACGGAGAAGATAATGATATAAATGGCAGAGAAGAAAGTTAAAAACTCAGAAGAGAGAAAGCTGCAGGAGAGAATTTACAGTTAGTAGTGCCAGGCTTGCGTAGATGTGCTGGAGAGCAGAGAGGTGTAGCTGATACTGTTGGAAAGCCTTTACAAGATGATAACAAGCAGAGAGGAATATGGGAAGCAATTAAAGAAGAAAAAGTTGTCTCTGTTGCAAACGCTCTCTCTTGCACACTGCCAAAGATCAGAGATCTTGTGTCTGTGCTTTTGGGTGATTAACAGTAAGAAACACTGGACAAACTAGTCTTGTGCCTAGGTTACTTTTTTTGTGCTCTTACATAGGCATAGATGTTCTCATAAGACTTTGCTGCTGTGCTTTAAGACCTTTCTCCTCCCCCATTCTGTGGTGCACTGTAGCGATGGCTTAGCTGTGTTAACAGCAGTGCTGTTCTCTGTCTTGACAGCCAAGAAGTTTCCACTTGGAACCACTTGTGTAACCATCTGAGATATCTCTTCAGAAATGAACATCCCCTCTTGCTTCCTATTTTCTTACTGGTCTTTGTGCATTTTCTTTCTTTCTTCATCCTAGCTAATGGATTTTTTTTGACATCTCTTTTAATCCCTTGCACTTTTCACAGGGTCAATAAATTAATCTACTGTGATGAGGAAGGGGAAGCAACGCATTTCTCTTTCCTCAAAACTATACACTGACTAATCTGAAGAATGAGGCACAAGGCATTAGGTCACTCCAGAGTCTGTCTCGGTATTCGCCTTAAGTACCTCCCCTTTCCTTCCCTTACCTCTCACATTCCCTACCAAAAGAGTTTGTACAGACGTTAATTGTGTGATAAAATTGCTCCCCAGCCAGTTGTTGCTTGAGCTTCCTGAAGAAATGGATGTTCAGACTGCATAGCTCATGTGGAATAAAGTTGAGGAACAGCGTTTTTCTTGTGTATTTCTCAATCCTAATTAGTGGCTATAGTAAAGTGGTCATTTCCAAAGAGTGCTTGGTCATTGCAACTCTGCTGGGATTGAGGAGTGAGCCAGATAGTACCTTGTTGTCCCAGCGCTGGCATAGCATGCCATTTCCTGGTTTATTCTTTCATATACTGATTCATGGTGAACTTGGTCATTTTATTTATAACAGATACACAATGCAGGCCTGTCTCCTTGAGCTGGTACATCCCTGACTGGACTACTTCAGTCATCCCTGCTTAAGAGGATTTACAGCTGTGCCGCCTTCCAGCCCCTTCTGAGTGGGCCAGTGAGCTTGTCACTGCTGTGTGAATGTCACTGTAAAATGTTCTGAATAGTTTCCTGGTGAAGAGTAACCAGTAATATGACAGTTACTTTGGGTTCCCTCCTTCTAGCTCTAGGTTGGCATTCTTAGAAAAGACATGGGACTTGTTGTCCAGGTACATTGCAGTTCCTTCACTGGGTATTTTCCTTCTTTGAAGAGTCAATATATCACCAAATGGAGAAATGTATCCTGCATTAGCTAGACTAGTCCATTATCACTGTGTCTCTGCTGTGCCAGCTCTGTCTAGTGGATACTGCAGGCTGAGATGACTTACACACAGACTTAGAACTTGACGAAGAAGCACAGCGTCTCCTTATCCACAGACCACTGTATGCTTTTGAAGGAAGGAGATGCTGATTCTTTTTCCTTTATGGAGATTTTAGTAGTAATAAAATTACATTTGGAGTAAGGGCTCCAAAGAAGTTGTTCTGTCAAGCAGCTTTGTCAAGGAGGAGGGAATGCTGGCAGGCTAACATTTTGTGCTGGTGATGGAGGATGCAGGAGCCATGTGGAGGTGGAAAAGGTGGCCCAAGAACTGAGGTACCCAGCAGGATGCTGGGTGTTGGCATGCCATTGAAGTTGCTGCTCTGATGGTCTCATCTGGGTTATTGTCTATAAAGAGTTTTAGCTCTCAAGTGTGTTGGGGTGGCATATCCATGGGGGGAGTAATACACCTGTGTGAAAAAAGTTTCTGTGTTTGATGGAGATATGAGACTAACCTTTTCCTTGCCTTGCCTCTTTTCCAGTCTCTGTCTGCTGCTGTCTCTTTATACTCTTTCTCTTCCTGTCTGAGCTCACCGGATTCATAGCCACTGAAATGTAAGTAAAATTCATGTTTTCCTTTGTTTGAATGTATATGCATATATGATTCTTCACAGTTTTACTCAGATACTTGGAAAAATGCCTGTAATTACACTAGGTCAGTTAGTTTTCTCATGGGATTTAGATTCCTTTTGGTCAAGCCTGAATTTTCGTTCGTTCGTTCGTTCATTCATTCATTCATTCATTCAAGTTTTTAATTTACTAAAGTATGCTAGGAAAATTTGGTTCTAAAATACTTCTGATGGAGAAAACTGCTTGATCCCTTACCAGCTGCATGCTGGATTTCTCTGTTGAGCACAACAGATATTTTTCATGTGACCACAGATCACATCAAAAACTTCTGATCCTTTTCAGTTCTCTGGTGATCAGGTATAAGGCATTGTGAATGCTAAGATGATCAGTGCCACTCCGTTGTAGTTTCCCTCTTCTTCCTTAGGCTGTTGATGTCTTGTTCTCATCTGAGATTCATTTCCTCTCTCCTCCTGAATAGGCACTCTACTCTGTACTTGTTTGATTCAAAGTGATTCTCAAAAATTAGTGTGTTTTTCATTGGTGCTACCGTATGTTTAAATGTGTGGTGCCTACTGGCTGAATTCACGTGGTCTGGCCTCTGAGACAATATGGGCCCATTGCAGATATGGTGGGATCTCTATGTTTTCTTTCCCCCTCGCTTCCCTGGGGATAAAGTGGGCATCACATTCTGCCTGTCTTTACTGGATATATTTGGAGATGCTTTTGGAAAAATTAATTGTATAAAACATGATTTATTATTAATATTGATAGTACCTTTATTTGATGTCGGAGCTGAATCTCTGATACATGCGGATAGCTTAATTCACATGTGATTTTACCTTATTCCTTTTCCCTGTTGAGCCTTACCTGGAAACTTAGTTAACAGGTTTTGTGCCTGAAGACAAGTTGTTCCAGGTAACCTCTCTGGGGCCTTTCTTTGAGCAAAATGGAAATAATTTCCACTTTAAAAAAGTGCTCATCGAACAAGTATTTTAGTTAATCACATTTCTTTTCTCCATTTCTCGTACTTCTTTTGCCTTGAAGTAAACTTTTCTTAGTAAATATTAACAGAGGTACCTTTGGTACCACAGATACCAGAGTTCTAGGAAACATTTGCCATCATCCTGCTGATGTGGCAGTGAGCTCACTAGACTGTGATGCACAGTTCCTGGATAGTTGGGAAGGGTGGAACTTCTGTCAGACTTACATGATGGTCCAGATAGCAACAGATGTCACTGCTGAGCAAAAAGCTCTGAAACACGTTGGGTTCACATGCTGTACTTAGATTGACCATGCTTTACGTGGCTTCTGATAACCACAGGTGGCTTTTTCATTGTTTTTGTGCAGCTCTGACTTGGGTCAAGAATATTATTTCAAGAATAACTTTAACTTTGAGTAATGTTTAACCTTAAGAGAGTAGCGTAATCCAGCTGTAGCGAATTTTTACACCCATTGCACGTTTACTTCAGAGATGGTATCTTAGGTTTCTTACTCACCCACTGTTTCTTTGATTTAGTTCCATGCATTTGCTTGTAAAATGCTAGGGTCACCTTATCAACCCACTTCTCTCAGGAGCTGAGTTGTGTTGGTTGTCTTGTTTTAAAAACTAGAGTAAAGCTACACAGATGGCTTCAAGTAAAATAGTACTTTTTCTTGCTCCCATCTTGGATCTCATTCTCTCATCTGGTTTTCTTTTTTCGTAATGCTTTACCAGAGGAATTAGTAATATTTACCTAATTAGTCGACTGCACATGCCTTTATGTAGTGGTAGTTTCCTGACTAGGGATTTCTTTTTGAACAGCAAACCTGTATGATTCTCTGAGGCCTCTTCATGGTCTTTTCTTAACAAGATGATGCATTTTCCGCAAGGATGTTAGAGCTGCTATAAGTTCCTGCAAGCTCAGCTGACAGGTTTCTCATTAAAACATCAGAGAGATGGTAACCGCTTTTCCCAGCAGGAACTGAGCTTGTAAGCAATAAAGCAGTAAAATTTTAGAGAGGATGTCATGGGAGACACTGAGACAAATGAATGCAGGAAATTGATTAGTCATGGACCATCCAACACAATAGCTTGCAGAATATGAAAACCTCGTTCTAATGAGTTATAGGTCGCCGAAATCTCTCTTGCTGGGAACAGATCACCCATAGAATTTGTGAAGTGGCTCCCCCAGTAACGGAAATAGTTCAGAAAGTCACATAAGAAAATGCTTCCCAGTTCGACAACTTCTAAAGTAGAAGTAAAACTTTTCTTTTTCCATTTCTTACTCATTGCTTTCTCTTCTGGGAAGCGCAGTACCTTAAAGGTGTTCAAAGATGTTATGAACTTCTTGTGCTTCCCCTTCAAGTGTGTATAACTGGCAGTGCATTGCGAGGTGGTATAGTCTCATTGGTCAGAATAAGGGTGCAGAAGTGTGGAGCTCTGTGTGGTCTGGAACTGTGTGAGAACTTTGTGCCACCATTTAAACTGGGTGGTAGCAAATAACAGCGGACATGCTGTCTCACAAAGATAGAGCCTTGTTTGCCCATTAATCAAATACTTTTGAAGATACAAAAGATTCCTTAACGTGCACACTTTTCAATTCCCATGAACTTTTATTGCACACTTCGAGTTTCTTTTGTATTAAGAGTCTCCTACAACAGATACCTCTCCCACCTTGAAGCTTCCTAGTCAGCCGGGATTTGAATGATTAAATGGAGTGTGCACATGTAAGGGGAGAGCTTTCCTGCTTTGCCAGTGCCAGCTGGAGACTGCAGCAGTTTTTTCTCCTCTTTTGTCTTATTTCCCTTAAAGCAGTCATGCGCTTGACAAAGCTGGATTGCGTGGGAATAGCTGCACATTTTTGATGGCAAGGTGAAATCGAGAGCAGTTGGCCTGATGCCTTACATCACAGACGTACGAGGTTTGCTGATGTGGACTCATGCTTACCTCATAGCCCTATTATGCTGAGTAATCGTGCGTGATGTGTGTGTATCGACAGCCTGCTTCAGGGCAAGTCAGCAGCAACCTCAACAGCAGTGGTACCCACAGGATTAACTGCCTAACTCTCACCAGTGGGAGGTTTCTTTGGTATCTGCATCTGAAGTGAGACGTTGGTGTAGTGGTTTGAACTCTTGCTGCAACATGAGAAAATAAAGTCTGCTCCACACCATGCTAACCCTTAATACTTGCTAACTTCTACCCACTGTTGGACTTTCTTCTACATTCATATGACTGTAGGAACTTAAATTCCTGGTATTACTAGAAATCTCAATTTGGTCACTCTTGCCCAACTTCAAAGCTGTTTTTCCTTGACCAGCCCATTGTCTTAGCATTTATAGTTGCAACTGCTAAAGGCTTGTCTGGGTGGCAGAAAGCCAAGAAATTACACCCTCATCTCGAGGATAACAGTCGTAACACTAAACCCAAACAGATTACCTATGTGGGGAAGACAGTGAGCATCACAGCAGCTATGTCATGACTCGTGTGGGCATTTCTAATGAGCACTAAGATTGCGTCTGTGCGCGGGAGCTTACTTCAGTTAGGAAGTTGAACTAAGACACTGCGCGTTAGAGCAGACGTGGGAAGCTCATGTGGCTCTGTAAATGCACATCCTATTTTGCTGCTGACTAGCTTCCTGTGTAGATGAGCCCTGAGTAGGATAGAAAACTTCTAGTTTCTCATCTTCTGTATGTATTGAATGACCCTAACAGGCACGAAAGAAATCAAAGGTTGGTTCTTAGGTGGGGCTACATCCTTTTCAGTACAGTGAAGAGCTGGTGAGGGAAAAAGTTTTTTCTTTCTTTGCTCAGCTACAACCCATCGTTGCCATTAAGTGGATGGTGAGTTGAACTCTGGAAACAAAGGATCTTGATTATTTTTTCCCACATCCCTGTCCAGACTGAGAGTGAAGGCTTAGTCTGAAACAAGAGCCTAGATTAACCTCCTCTATTCTGTAAAAGACAAAGAAAGAAAAGGAGGTCTGTGCTCCAAATTTGAACCCCTGCAAAACTGGCAGTATCAAACAGTTGTCACACTGAGCAAATGACTCGAGTGGCTGAAGAAATTATGCTGAAGTGTTAAATGTGTCTGGTATTTCCTGGGCAGGATAGGTAGCAGGTTAAGAGTTGAGAGCAGATTGAGGACTAGAAATTGCTGGGCCTTCCTCATTCATTTTGCTGTTATGTTGCAAATCAAGAATGAAGAAATGGCCTATCTCTTTTTCTAATTAACTCAGATCAGTGCTAGAAGTTAATAGCTGGCAAGATGATAATCTTGCTGTTTTATCACTGTAATTAGGTCATGAATTATGTTCTGTAGGATCAATAAGAGTTTTCCAAGTATTCCATCATTAAGGAGGAAAGATGTAATTAACTAATCTAATCTGTCGTGCATTGGCAGCCAGGGGAAGGGGTAGGAGGGTATAAATGTGATAGTTGTGGTATGAATGTAGCTGCTCAACAGTAATTAATCTACCACAGCACATTGTAGAAAGCAACAGACTGTTCCTGGCAGTGTTTTCTCTTTCTTTCTTTCTTTACTTATTTTAATGTAGTAACAGGCAAGGAACAGTCTGAAGTGACATGTTTGCCATTTGGAAGGCTGTGCCCCCTGCAAAGCAGTTAATGACTTCAGCAGAGTATCTATAATAAAAATACTGCCTTTGCATAAAAGCATCAATCATGAGCAATGTCCAGATCATTCCTTCATTTAAGGTGACTGGATCGCTCACTGGGGATAACTGCTTGCTTTCATCTTTATGAAAAACACCTTGGTCAGTGTATGAGCGTCACACAATCCAGCTCCTATGCTGGGGCCAAATCATGTGCAGCACAACTTGACTGTTCATGCAGGCTGCCAGGTACCCCTAATGTAAGAGGAACCAAAACATCACTAGCTTCTGAGACCAGCATTGCTTGTTCACACTGAATTCATTTGCATGCCTGAGACTGATCCTGCAGTGAAACAGAATTGTTATCATACCTACCTGCAAAGGCTTTTTTGGTCC